AAACAACGTTACACTTCATTTTAGGAAGAGTCCATTTTTTTTTCAAAGTGAATTATCATTTTATTAGAAAACAGCGTGTTAACGCCTTATTAATTTGATTAAGATTACAAAATCGACCAAGAAACAACAGGACAAGGAAATAAGCCAGAAACAATCCACAAATCATTTGCTATTCTTGTATAAATGTTATACTATTAATCTTTTATTGACTTAAGGAAAATGAACTTTTATGTTTTTGCTTTCTCAGAGACGAGGAGATGGAGTTATAGGCTTCTGTGTAGCTTTACGATAATCATAAACTCCGATTCCTCGTTTTCTTCCTAATCTTCCTGCATCAACGTATTGAACAAGAAGAGGACAAGGTGCGTACTTTGAGTCCCCAAGTCCCTCGTGTAGCACTTTCATTACCGACAAGCACACGTCTAGACCGATTAAGTCCGCTAACTCCAGAGGACCCATCGGTTGGTTTGTGCCGTGTTTCATTCCGCTGTCAATGTCTTCCTTTGTAGCCACCCCTGTGTAAAGTGTGTGGAACGCTTCATTGATCATTGGCATGAGAATCCGGTTCACGATGAAGCCCGCGTAGTCTTGCGAGCACACTGTTGTCTTGCCAAACCTGCAGGGATTCACAGTTAAATCTATAGACAGAACAATTGAATCGGGAATTTGGTTAGTTAACCTGAGTAACCAAACACAAGCATCATGACATTGTTCTAAACTGTAGAAGGAAAAGATTTGAGTTTTGTTTCGATTCTAATCTTCTTGAATGAGGTTTTTGACATTACAGATAATCAGCATTTGAATTTCATTTCCAACATTTGCTATTAGCATGTAAATTCTGCATACGGGTAAACTTCATTTCAAGGAAAAAACAAACCTTTCAGCCAGGGCTTTTGTGGCAACAAACGTCTCTTCCGAGGTATCCGCACCGCGAATGATCTCAACCAGTTTCATTATTGGTGGAGGGTTCATAAAGTGCATTCCAATGACCTAGAGACAAAGGAACATACCACTATACAGTTATAAGATATTCGGACCTCAAAACTCATGAACAGATAGATGATCAACATGAGCATAGGAAGTAAAGAGTCTTGAAACCTGACTGGGTCTTTTAGTTGCGGAAGCAAGACGAGTAATCGAGATAGAACTCGTGTTCGAAGCTAAAATCGCAGAACTCTTCGCTATTCCATCTAGATCCTTGAACAGTTTCTTCTTAACGTCTTCGGATTCCACAATAGCTTCAACGATAATATCGGCAGAACACAAATCTTGAAGATTGGAAGTTAAACGTAGACGACGCATAGCATCATCTCTAACTTCCTGCAATGTACAATTCACCACAAATTTCGACCATTTGATTTAACCTCTATGCCACACTATCACAAGATCATTCCTTTGGTTTTTCTAGCAACAGAGACAAAGATTTTCAGACAAAAAAAATAAAAATAAACTCCAGAGTCTCCAAAGGATCGTGAAGTAACCTAAGAACGTGTCCTAAATCGAAGCATACAAATCAAACCTAGAAAAGTCACTGAAAATGATTCGATTATTGAAGGAATTTGAATAATCTACTTGCCTTGGAGAGTAGACCTTTGGAGACGAAACGATTAATGGAGGAGGAGATAGCTCCGGTGGCTCGAGAGAGCGCATCCCGATCAGCGTCCAACAGCCAAACGTCGAGACCGTTCGTAGCGGCGAGTTGCGCGATTCCTGAGCCCATCTGACCAGCACCCACTACTCCGACACACTTTATCTCCGCCATTTTTCTCTCCGAATCGCCGGCGATCGAACTCTCTCTGTAAACGTTACAGAGGATAGAGATGACATGGATTATAAACTGGGCCTTATCAATTATAGGCCTAATGGTTTTAATGGGCCTATATAAGACTTGACTTAAAATTATTGCTTGGTCTTTTTACTGGAACCGTTTTATGAGCACGTGTTGAGAAGACAATAACCGAAGAAACGTGTCGTATGTTTTCCACGTGTCGTTGGCTTAGTACTCCACCATTTCACTAACTTCCCCGCAAGCTTTGGATCTTCGCTAAGTACTTCATAAGCAGATGAGATAAACTGGGATTAAGTAAAAATCAAGATAACAAAAAAGTTAAAGAAAGCTAATTAATCATGGCGGCTAGGTTTTTGGTGAAGAGACTCGCGACGGTGAACGTTTCAAGAACTCCGGGTAGAGATTTCTCCGGTTATGTCCTCCGTCAAGTTACCACCGGAATCAACAGCTTCTCCACCGCATTTAAGCAAACAGAAGTATGTCCATGATTAATATCATTTACATTGTATCATTTTGAGCTAACG